TATATATATATATATATATATATATATCTATATCTACATATAAACGTAATCTAAACTATGGAAAAATGGAATTTTGTTAAAGTAAAAGTAAATTATAAGGACAGATTGCGTAAATGTTATTCGAAGAAAAACATTCTTGAGCGATGAGTTAGTGGTCGTAGTATATTTATCGGTATTGGTTACCTTTTGCCTGTAGTCGCCTTCTTAATTTAACTCTAAAGTTCATTACTACTTAAAGGCTTACTTTTACGTTATTTTTTATTTTAGATTTCAAATATTACGTGCATTATTGCTTACTCATGCACAAGTGGATCATTTTTTTTGGAGTCGCTACATCATGATATCGAAAATGGAATAATTCCTTCTCTTACTCCCCACATAGGAGTGATGATGATTAACAAAGGTCCATGGGACCGCATAATATTCCTTAACGTACTTAGGTATAGATGAAAGAGAATAAATGATTCCAGGATTTTTGTCTATAACTCCGCGCTTCGCCTGATTTATATAGACATTACTTTTAGACCTAGTATGTGAAATAAAAGGGTTTCTGACATTTGTTTTTTTGATTCACTTCTTTAATTAAAGCTTTCAGACACTCGAAAGCACATAGAAATATTTTTAATTTTATCAGGATTACGAGCGCAAGTATATATTTCAACATGCTTTCAAATTATTTAGCTTAAGTGAAGTACCAGTATCGCATTCTATTTCATGATTGAGGGATCAAACAAAGACAGAAATGTTTTCTACTTTTTTTGCAAAAAGTTTATTTATATATTTGAGGGCCCATATTAGGTAAGTATTTATACCTAGAGTACGGTTATTTTACATATATGCACAGATTATAAAAACAGCAACATATATAAAGCCTTTAGTATCTCACATTACTACATAAAAATCGATTTAAATATATATTGCATTGAATTCTTTTGGGATATACCATAAAATCTACCTATTTAAGTTTCAGACGAATTCTAGGAGTGCACTAACTCATACAAAGGGTGCACAAATATTTACATTTTTTATTTTCGAATGAATAAGTATTTCCGGATTTTTTAAGCAACACTTACAGAGGATTGATACAATCTTATTTTCCTACATTTTTTTATGGATTCATTTACAATATTTGTAAAAAGAGTAGAATTTGATCTGTCTCCATAGGAAAGAGATGAATAAGAGGATTCTAGGACGATAAATGTTCAGCTAACTTCGACGCCCACGTGTTAGAATGGAAAGTGAGGTCAAAATAGGTTTCACTCTTAAAGACCTTGAAATGTTCCCTCTTCTCCCTTACAAATACTTTTTTTTACCCTTGGTGATTCGTTGAATTGAGATAAGTTTTCAATTTATCTCCTCAATGCGATGTGCAGCGCCTTGATTGTGCTCTGAATAGAAGTGGACATTGTTTTTATCTTTTATTTCACTATATTTTATGGAAACTAACAAATCGTATTTTAACAAGTTCTATAATTTTTTGCTTTATCAAGCCTGAGAATTTATCAACTTTCTTGAGTATTTTAAATATTCAGGGAAGTTGCACTTCTACATTTACCTCCTGATGTCATGATTTATCTTATTTTTTTAATTATTTTACAGTTTCTTTAATATGGTGTTTAAATCATAACTTTCCTTAATAATTTACTTTTTCAATATTGTTCAAACTCCTAATTGCGCAAATGCAGATGAGTCAATTATTTTTCTATTTAACACATTTTCTACCAATAGTCTATAGTGTGATATTAGGGAAACGGTCGAAAGTTAATTGCGCCTTAGTATTGGGTGATTTGCTATACAAAGAATAAGTCGATAAATACAAAGATAAACGTTCGTAAGAAATGAAATTTGGTAAACGACTTCAAGATGAAATTGTTCCTGAATGGATCGATCATTATGTCAGCTACAAACGTCTAAAACGATTTATTCGCAACTCAAAGCTGACGGGATGCTCGTTTAGAAAAGAACTCCTTAATGTAATTTCTGAGGAATTTGGCAAGGCCGAAAATCTTTTCCAAGAACTCATTGATGATCTACAAAAAGGATTTGAGGGTTTAATGGGTATTAATCTTGATCGCCCTTTACCAAAGTCGACGACTTTTCGAAGATTCTATCCGAGACGTCACCATAAGGGATTCGATGCCGCCGTTAGTGAGGATAGTGTGGCACTGGTTAGCTGTAGTTCCGTCTATGAAGCTGAATCGCAGCTGGGGGATCACAAAGATGAGGGATTCCTATCCTTTTTAAAAATCTTTTTTTTATCTGCTATCGGGGATTTCAAGGTGAAGCCGGTTGAGAAAGATACCCCGCGGGCGCAGTTCCTGGAGTGGTACGCCAGTGCCCATCAGTTGCAGCACTTTGCCGAGCTCAACCTGGAGGCAATTCGAAAGACATCGAAAAAGGTGAAAAAATATCGTAGTATGGATGGCGACCACGCAAGTGCCATTGAGGCTGAGCTAAGTCGTTCTCATCTAACGACTTTGATGCCTCGTTTACACAAGCTCATCTCCGATGTCTGCCTCGATTACGAGAAAAAGTTCGACGAACCGCTCAAACAGTACTCGAACCTCACCCTCCCGGAGGAATGGAAGGTGAAGTGGGGCTCTGTCTTTTTTTCCATCCTATTCTTTAGCCTAATCATCCACGCGCCTTTTTTCGTTGAGACCCCGGCCGCCCATAACTGCGTGGCACTTTTTACCTTCGTAGTGGGGCTTTGGGTGACGGAGGCGATGCCGTCCTTCTGTGTCACGATGCTGATCCCGTTAGTGGCGGTCCCTCTGGAACTTGGGGGAGGGGGGGCCACCCCCTCTCCTATCTCCACCTCCGTGTCACGTCTTCTCGGCACCATCTTCAGCCCGTCCCAGGTCCTTGTGCTGGGTGGGCTCGTGATGGGCAAGGCCGTGTCACGGGTGAAGCTGCCGATGCACGCGGCCGATGCCATCCACCGTTACACTGCGCACCGGCCGGAGCTCTACCTGCTCGCGGTCATGGCCATGTGTTGCGCGCTCTGCGCCCTCCTCTCCAACCTCGCGGTGCCGATGCTCGTGCTGGAGCAGCTGCAGGACATTCTCTGGGAGTTCGTCGAGGGCGGAGGCGCCCCGCACGGGGTTCTCCTCGGGGTCGCCTTCGCTTGCAACTTGGGTGGGATGCTCTCGCCGGCCGCCTCGCCGCAGAATGCGCTGGCGATCGCGGCCCTTAGCCCGGGCGGGAGGGTTTCCTTCGCGGCGTGGGTCTGGACGGCGCTGCCGGTGGTGAGCTTGGGGTTGTTAGTTTCCTGGGGAGTAATCGTATTCATCTGGAGACCCTTCCGGGAGGTGCCGTATATTCCCCTTCAGATCGTCAACACGGAGTCAGATAAGGAGGTTTCGACCGCTAAGCGTGCTGCCGTACTTATAGTTACAGCGATTACGGTTTTACTATGGCTATTGCCTTCAAATTTCTCTCTAGGCGATCCGAACCTGATTGCTCTCATTCCGATTGTAATTTTCTTTAGCACTGGTATTTTGTCAAAAAAAGATTTTAATACCCTTTCTTGGAATCTTATATTTTTATTATCGGGTGGGAACATGCTCAGCTTGTGCGCTCATGATTCGAAGATGTTTGATATCATTGCAATGGGCTTAAATGGAACTCTTTCAGCGACAACCCCGTATGCAAGCCTTATTGTGATTATGCTGTTCATGAGTATTATATCTACTTTTGTTTCCCACACGGTGGCTGCGATAGTTATACTGCCGATTATCGACAAGATTGGGCAACTTATACAACCTAACAGCGGCCCTTTTGCGGTAACGTCAGAATCATTGGTTCTGCTCTGTGCATTCATGTGTTCTGGTGCAATGGCTTTTCCTATTAGCTCCTTTCCAAATGTAAACTCCTTGTTAGCGGAGGATCCGAAGGGGAACCCATATTTGCGCGCAAAAAACTTCCTGACCACCGGATTGCTGATTCAATTGATTCTTTTCATCAGTCTTATTACGTGGATGGTGCCCTTAACGAACCTAACGCTAGAATGGCAGAGGTCCTAATAGACATGCTACCTCCCCTACCCTTCCCTTTTCCCTTTTTATTAATCTTTATTGAGATTAAGAATTCTAGAATGAAATGATAAATATATCCTTTCCTTTTCTAGTGCTTATAGTTTTCCCCTTCCTCTCCTTCCCCATCCCTTCTCCCTCTTTCCACATATGCTCTTATTGTTATTGCTTAATAGCGGAGCACCATTACTTCAAACCGCTGCTTCATTCTGAAAATTAATTTATCTAAACTCTTGAATTTCGACAACTTATTTTTCCTCTACTTTCTCATGGGGTTATGATCTTCTCTCTTTCCTTTTATTTACTATTAAACGTAATAAATTGCACACATATGGTAACATTGAACATGCCTTTGGATGATCTGTAAACTGTATTCCTTGAGTTTCTGTAAAATCCGTGCGCTAATATTTGCCTTCACAGTTTTTTCTGATCTGAACATTATTAAAAGCTAATGTAATCATTTCCAGAAGCTTTTATTTATGGAATGAATGGTAAATTGTCTGTTTTATTTGTGTTGCATTACATTTTTTATCGACGATGCTAATTCCATTTATTTTCCAATCAGAAAATTTTATGGGGTTGAATTTTTAACCACGTTAGTCAGTGGCCTCTACACGGGTATTGGGCTCCTCTTTTATTTTAACAGTTTGCTATGTTAAGAATATATTTATTTAATTCACTTTTCAATCTTAGATTTTTTTTGGCATATGTAAGAAACCTGTTTATGCTACGTATTTTACTTTTGAAAAATCAGTACACTTATGGATAGAAATATAAGTTGGGGAATAATGCCCTATAGATCTTTTGGCATCCTTCTACTTAAAACCTTTTGATGTTTTAATTATCTTACTAAACTTAGCTCCAAAGATTGAATTTGAAATGAATACCGATTATTCAGGGTTGAGGGATATACTATCACTGTTAATTCTATCATTCCGGATTCGATTCTGCACAAGGATAGACATTTGCTTATCCGTGCTTCTTTATCATTGGCTATGTTAGTAATCGGTATACTAACTATTATCAGTTACCATAAGCCACACGCTCCAATACTTAATTACCTTCATTTTTCTCAGAAAATTACATATTAGATACAATATTTGTAAAATCTAAGATATTATCTATATATTGATTTATTTATATCGGGAATTTTTATTCACAACTCCTTTGTTCTAGTTCCTTATCTTCTAAAGAACTGATACAATTCATTAAGATACACAATTGCTTTATATCTTGTAATGATTTTTTTTTAAATTATAAGGGGGAGTTGGTTTGCGCGAATATTACTATGGCATACAACAATGATAAGAAAAGCAGCTTACCTTATTCTCCACAAATATACACCTCTGAATATTGCATCCATTTAATTTAACCTACTCAATAACTTGTTTATTTGTTCTGAAAACAGTTAGAATGGGTTTGAGTTCAGTATGAGATTCTTTTATCCCTTGCCCTTCATTTTTTATTATTTTTCCATCTACTCAGTATCGTAGAAAAGGCCTCATAATTGGTTAAGGTAAAAATATATTTATTAAGAGTGAAAAGAAAACGAAAGAGTGTTATATATATATTCTTTTTTGTTACTGAAGTTCATTAGAATCGAGAATAACATAAAAGGAATAATGTCTAAACTTCAGCGCCCGACACTACATGATACTTTGCCTTATCTTCGAATTCAGTTAGATCCTAAGAATATGGTGCTTTTGCGAGCAGCTGAGAATGAATTATTTTTAGTAGATATGAATTGTGCGATGGTAAGCCGGATATGCCAGAAATATCTAAAGGATGAAAATGAAAAAAACCACGTTGGTCAGGAAACTGAAACCAGTGAGGAGTGCCCCCCAAATGATGCTACATTTTCGAATCATCAAGAAATAATTGGTACAACTGCATATCCCGTTATTGATCTTTCCGATGTTGCTTCCGATGTATTAGATCTTTCGATTGGGTTTATGTATAATAAATATAAACTTGATGTGGATCCGGAAAAGCAGCTTGTTACTCAGCCAAAGTGGGATCTTCCTTCCACAGCCAAACTTATTGCTGCGAGCGTTTTGTTGGAGATGTAAATTATGGGATTGAAAAAAATGACTCCATTATCAGTGGAAATTTATGTCGTGGTTAATGAAGTCATAAGCTTTGCACATATACATATATGTATATATGTATATAATTATTTATTGCCTTCAATCTTTAGTTTTGGTGATTGAAGCTTTTTTTTCACAGCTTAAAAAAAAAAAGCCAAACCAATTTTGGTGTAGTTCAATTGCAATCTTTATCAAAACCTCCTTGTTCTTTGTGTTGTGTATTCTTTAATCGTTGAATTTTTTACGACGTTATTTAATAACCATATGATCATCAAAAAGGAACAAAGAACATAGTAAAGATAGAAATGAACGCGGATACCCAAGATAACGTAAAGCGGTCAATCACTGAAGCGGCTGCGGAGCATTATGAGCTTTTACTTGAGTCTCGGGAGTCCAACAAACGCCTCGACGCTCTTTCATCTGAAGCAATTGTAAAATCTAATTTATTGCTCGAAACTCTTGGTAAGCTTCAGTTTTATAGTCAAAATATGGCAGATGTCGGTGCTTCTTGGCGGACTGAAAAGCAAATCCTGTCAAATGCGATGTCGAATTATCCACAGCTTTTGGCTATCGCTGAGTCTCCTTTTTTACTGCGTGATTGCCTTTGCAATGGTATGTATCATCAGGCTTTATTAATAGTTGAGCATATGTCTCGAATCACTCCTCGCGATGCGAATAGTGGTAATCTTTTTTCTCGAATTCAGCTCGAACTTTGGAAAACGCTTGATGCATGCTTTAACGAGGTGATTTTACCCCGTTTATCGGAATCACTTACTGTAGATGTTGCTTATAAGCTAATTACATTTTTAGAACATTTAGGGTTCGATAAATCTTACGTGAGGGAGCTTTTCCTTGAAAGGCGAAGGATCTATCTCGACAAGCTCATTCAGGAGGCGGAGAAGAGTACGGTTCCTTATTCTCGCGCGATAAAATTGATTAAACTTTATAAAAATCAAACCAATGATGTGTTAATGCAGTATGAGGTTTGTTTCTTACCCTCTGAACGAACAAAAAAAGCGAATGAAAGCAAAAGCGAAACGGAACAGGGCTGGGACGAGTGTATTCAGCTGTGGAGCTATGCCCAGGCGGAGCGCTTTCTCGCGGCCTTTGCGCACTGCATCGGACAGCTCACCAACGGCTCCGAACTTGCACTTTTGGTCGAGCAATCCTCCAGCTGCGCAACGCGTGCGGCCCAGGTCGGCATGGATCTCTTCCCCGGCATCCAGGCGCTACTGATAAGTCGAATTCAGGCCCTCTTTTCCGCCCAGATGGCCCACACCGTGGCGGCCTATGGGAACGCCATGCGGGGCTTTTCCTGGCGAAAGGCCTCCGCCCTGCGCACCTCCACCGTGCGGCCCAGCCCTCTGGAAGGAGGGGTGGGGGATCCTTCTACGGCAACCCAGACAATGGCTACACCTACGACTACGACTACTGCTAACAGCTGTAACAGTAACCCTAACTGTACTAACAGTAGCACTAGCCCTACGGATACCCATTGCGGGGGTGTGGTGAGTGCGCCGCCGGCGATTCTCGCACAGTGCCTTCCGTTGGCCTGCGCGGTGAATGGGTTGTTGACGGCCTTTAACTTCTGCCGTCGGGTGGTGATGGGCGGTATGGGGCTGACAGCAGTGGGGGAAGTGGAGGGGCTGCTCGCGCGAATCGCGGACGACCTCGCGCGGGATGCCGGCGTCGTGGAGACTCTGACCGCGCTCGAGCAGGGTGTTTACTACAATTTCGTGCGGATTTTTGTGGAGGTGTTGTACCCCTACGTGCTTGGATGCACGGCGAGGCTCTTTGGGGAGGGGGCTCAGCGTTGGGTGGAGGAGAGCATGGACGGAGAAGTCAAGGCACTGGCAAGGCGACTGCCCTCGGAGGTCTCTAATATGGAGTCTGCTAAGATATCTCCTCCTGCCCAACCATCCCAGTCTTCTTGAATATTGACTAAAATAGAAAAGAAAGAAAGAGGGAGAAGGCTATAGAGATAAAAACCATTTAGAGGATTACGCATCTCTTTTGCATGAGTAATATAACATTTTTTTTTGCTTTAATTGGATCCTTTTCTGTATTTCACTATTTCAATTTCAATATTATTCTTGTATCATTTGTATACAAGGTGGCTTCAGGAGTGTAGGTTAAATAGAAATTTGAAATGTTGTCTGGAATTCATTCATCTCGTGTATATTAATCCATTGTTCTTCTTTTTTCTTAGTTTATCTTTTATTACGCACTGTGGTCTTACAGCGAGCTTTCCTAGTTCAGTTTTTTATAGAAACGTATTACTCAAGAACTTTGTTTATATTTATAGTGTTCTTAATTACGTGCATCTATTTTTTTAGTGGATAATTCCGAAAAGACAAAACTAACAAGAAAATGATCTACGAGAAGCCAAAAGTCGAAATGGGTATTGCGCTCATCGAAAGTGAAGAAGCCTTCAAACGATCGGCTATGGCCACTGAGGAGGATTACAAAGCTCGCTACTACGCTGCGCAGCGAAATTATAAGCTGAAGATCGATCGTCATGGATTATACGCTGATGCAGACATGTATAAAGGAAAAGGTCCCTTGGTTTCAGCACTTTTACATACCCCGAACGAGTATATTAAGTTTGGTTCCTGTTTTAAACCAGAGGAGGTTGATGAACCGAGTGGTTTGGAAGCTCTAAACGATGAGCTTCGTACGCTCGCGCAGGAACGGGGGTTCAGCAACCGCTATGGAAAGACCTTTTTCTCGCTTGTTCAGCGCCAGCGCGAAGAGTACAACGATATCATAAAATTGCAACAAGCTAGCTTTTGCCGGGTCGCCAAGGAATATTTCACCCTCACTTACGGGAAGATGAACAAATTTTTGCTATCGGAAGTGAGGGCACGCAAACTGATTGAGGATGTGGAGATGGCCGAGGGAGTGGTGCTGATGAAAACACTACGTCGGTTTATTGAAGAATGTGAGGAGCGGATTATTCGAAGAACTTTCGACGAGGGCCGTTTAACCAAATATTCAAATGAAGACGATGATATCCACAGACCTCCTGTGCTGGATAGCATGTATGCGGTTCCCTTACTACAAAGGGCGATGACAATTCGAGAGGAGACGATGTCAGAGCATTCGATTGCGTTTTGCAATCTCCAATTGGGGATGTTGACGCAAGCGGATCTTTGTAAGATGGGACTATTATGGCGTAATGCAATCACAGATACCCTAGAAATCATCCCAGGTGCCAAGATTCCCTTTCATCTTCGCGATTCCGTGGCTTACGCCTTCAAATCCGAGGCCCTTTATATTGCTCTTGACGAGGAAAACAAACGGATGACTCTCATTGAGCAAGAAGAACTGGCAATGGAGATGTTACTGGACTTTTGCAATCCTCAAGTTACCATGGAAATAGCTAATCAGGAGAGGAGGAAAAAAATTAACACCGCCAGATTAACATTGTAAAGCAGAAGAGGATTTTTTACTCTTAAGCTTTTTTTTAAAATTTAATTGATAATGTATGTTTATAAATTCTAATTCATTTTTACCTGAGACTATATATTCTGTTTTTTTTTTTCAGTTATATGTTGCGAGTTAAATAACTGAGTGATCATTTACAATATCTTTATTTGGCATTGCACCTGTGTATGGATTTTTCACTTTATACAAAATGTTTAAAAAAGGCAAATCTTAGAAAGGTGTTATTTCCCGATTTCCATTATTGGTTTCGATTTTATAATCTGATCGAGTTTAATTTTATATGCTTGATACGTGTTCTGGATGTAAAATATGCAGTTAAGATGAATTCTGTTGTTACACTATGGAATAAAAAAAGATGGAATTGTAAATACTCATTCCAAGTGGAGCCTTAAATATATAAAAAAGGGGAAGTAATAGTAGATTTGCTTCATAGATATAGTTTTTATTGAAAAAATGTTACTATTGCTGCCTGTTCCATTTACTTTTCTTTTTTTACATACCCTGCTTATCTTCCTGAATTTAAATATTGGATATGCGTTAAGCGGAGTTTGCTGTAGATTGGCTTATCTTTGTGTGCAAAAGATCTTTACTTGATATTTCCTGTCTTCTGTACGAGTAGTGTTTTTATATTGTATAGTAAAAATAGAAGCGGTTACTTTCATATTTAGATAATTGTTGACGCTCTGTTTCACCGCACAGAGAGGTGCTAAGGTCTACCCAATACAGAAGACAGCCCCAACCCGCACCGCCTTTTCCTTTCCACGGTGTCGCTTAGACCAGCCCTCTGTAATCGCACGATAGTTTGGATCCCTATTTAT